TTCTATAGCAACATGGAAAATGTTAATATTATGTGAAAAGAAAGTTATGTTATAAAATTGTTGACCAGTAGAGCCTTGTAAAAGGTGTACCAGAATCCAAGTGGTAGAAGCATCCCTGGCTATGGATGTAGGGAGCATCCCTGGTTATGGATGTAGGAAGTATTAGTGACTTTATCTTGATGTCTCTTCAAATACTGTCCTATTACTGTTACTGTAGTAATAGTAAACAGAAGCCTTTAAAAACAAATTCTTCAAGGAAATGCTTCTCCAATCCTTAAAACTCAACCCTCTTGTACATTTTTATAAGAAAAAAAGGAGAGAGAGCATTGTTATGCCAAGCTCATTTCTCTGAGAGCTGACACAGTGGTGGTCAAATAGTGGATAAATAAGGATAACTGCAAGGAAAGAACATATTCTATAGTAATTTTTGTTTGGCTTAAGACTTAAGACTCACCAAAAACATATGGGTGACCAATTTCTTATATACCTCTCTAAATCAAATGTGTTTAGATGGAAAACAAACAAACAAACAAAAAACACATTAACCATCAAGACTGTATTTCTTCTCAAGGTTGCCAACAACCACACAAAGGGGTAGTCTCACTTCTCCAAGTGCTTCCTCTTTATCCTATTTGTGAGCTGTCAGAAAATACATGCACATTGTTAGCTTTGGTATCATGGCGTGGTGGTTAAGGCACTGGACTCTCACATGGCAAACCACGGTTTGAGTCCCTGACCTGGCAACTTGAAAATCAGGTCAGGGGTGTGTGTGTGTATGCACGTGTGAGCTCAAAATTCCAAGAGGAGAATAAATTGTGGAGTGGCCATCCCCCGGGGGGATTCCTCACTTTCCTTCTCTCTCCAGTGAGCACATACACCTATGGCAAAATACATAAATGAACAAATAGAAAATACATGCCATGTCATACCTGTCGTGTTTGTCACACAGTGGCTATGGTCCCAAATATTCATTCACAAAGGTTAGTCAAATGTATGGGTATTGAGATCAGTGTCCTGTGCTTTCCAAAGAACAAAAGATTTCTTTTTCTTCTTCTTTTTTAAATAATTATTTTATTTATATATTTTAATTTGACCAGAAAGGGATGGAGAGAGAGAGAGAGAGAGAGAGAGAGAGAGAGAGAGAGAGAAAAACAGAGAAAGAAAAGAGAGAGAGGAAAACTGAGAAAGTAAGCCACCAGGTCTGGGACTCGAACTGTGGTACATCATACGGGAATCCAGTGCCCTCAACCATGGTGCCACCTGCTGGCCCCAAGTACAGAGGGTTTCTCCCTTTTCTCCTGTTTACACAGGAACACTTCTATCAGTTCTGGATTATGGTAAAAAGCTGCTAGCTTCTGGGCATGTTGGTAGACTAGACCACACATTTCCCAACCCCGTTATGGGTAGGTGGGGCCATGTGACCTGCTCTAGCCTATTTAATGAGACAGGAAGTGATATACACTAATTCCTAGATGAGGCAGGGGAGTGGTGAGAACATCTCTAAGTTTGCAGTGATGAGATGACAGCATCTTCAGGTGTGGTCACTTGGATTTCTGAGTCAATGGGTAAAAGGGCTACCCACAGAGCCTGATTAATAATCTGTGTAAGATTCAAACATGTATTGTGTAAAAGCAGTGATTTCAGAATTTGCCTGGTTGCAGCCTCTACCATGACTAATATATCAATACATCCCACTTGTTCTACATAAAACAAAGTGGGAGTAGAGATTAGAACTCAAAAAAATTGTTCATAAAATATTTGATGGTCATGAGAGAACAGCTATCTTTTGCAAAGGAGAGAGTTCATTAAGTTAGTTCTCAACCTGCAGTCCTAGAAAGGTTGAGAATCTCTTGAGTATTTGGCAACAAAGTTACTAAAAATATGATTCTCATGGATCCTTTTATTGCCATGCCTGTCAGGCAAGGTCAGAGCCAAACATGTGGTTTATGTATGGCCCCATGGAATGCATTTTTGTCAACACTCTTTGAGCATCTTTGCTACTCAATCCTCATTTACCCTTTGAGTCCTGATTTATCTCATTTTGTTTCTTCTAATTATGTTGCACACTCTTCTAAGACTCTTAAAAATTTTCTTTGGTAAAAGGGATAAAGGAGAGACCAGCAGAAGGTGTAATGGTTATATCCCAGGACTCCCACATCAGTTGACTTCAGTGAGTCCCAGACCTGGTGACTTAAAACTCAAGCAAGGTGTGTGCGTGCATGCCCCAAATCCCCAAAGAACGGAGAAAGGATTGTGGCATGGTCATGCCCCTGAAGGGGTGACTTCTTACTTTTTGTCTCTGTCTCTCCAGCAAGCACACACACCCTAGAACAAAAATCACTCCAAAAAATGGATAAAGGGAACAAGAAAAGGTGAGAATCAACATTTTCCAATGAACTGAACAAATTACCCAAGTGTCACTCATTTCCTAACACTGGTAGAGGCAGAAAGTGTAAGTGAGCTCTGAGTTTAATAATTGATGCTGTTGCTTTTAATTTACTCCTCTAGGTTTAATGACTATTAATTTTTAAAATTTGTAACAGGGTCACTCAAAGATCAAGTTCATGGTGATAGTAATTAGTCCAGGATGCACAGTAGGATAGTTTGTGGCTCAGGCTTTCATGAACCAAGAGTGGCAATGGGGAAATGAAGCCTCTTCTGTGGTTGTGACTTGCAGTTTGTTTAAAATGACTATGCTCGTGGATTCAGGGTCCCCAGATGGAAGTTTAATCACTGGCATGTCCTCCTCCTGAAGTGTCATATATCATTTTGATTCACATTTTTGATGGAAAACATTCCCTGCATAACTGCCCCTCCCAGTTGGTGATGAATACCTGATGCAGTGATATTAACATTTTAAAAACCCAGCTCACACCTCGCCTTCATTTCACCCTTCTTTCCATACCTGCATAGATTCAATGGCTTGAAATCTCTCTCTTGAACATGCATTGAAAGACAGTGCTCTATCATTTCTGTATTTTATAACTGGAGTCATATCTGTAAATGATTTACAACAGATGCACATAGACACATGTGAAAAAAATTCTTTATTAATTTCTCACATTTCATTACAAAATGTATGTTGCAAACGACTTGAATAATCTACTTGTGTTTTTTGTTGGTTTTATTTATTTATTTTTTTTTGTTTTTAAACCCTTGGCTTCAAAGACTCAGAATCTCCCTATCTTTTATCAAGTATTGGGAAACACTGATTATTGGGGTCAACAGGGGTATCATTTTGCTATTTATTTTCTTCTCTCAAGCTCTGGAAAAAAATGTCCTCTGTATAAATTAAACAACAAAAACGTTGTAAATTCTATGTCATTACAGTCAACAGAATTATAATAATGCATCCAAAATGTGCGGCCACAAAATATCAGGTATATGTTTGAAAAAAGAAAAAAAAATGACATTCTAGCCTTGTTAAAAGGATAATGGTCCCATATTTTTATTAACAGGTTAGCAAAACAAAATCCAATGGATTACAATATTTACATGTTATTTGAAAAATAAAGTAGTGATAAAAGCATGTCACAATTATTTTCTTTTTTTTTTTCTTTTCTTTTTCTTTTTTTTTCTTGTTTGTATTTTTGGTAACCATTACAAACACCCAATCCAGGTATGGAACTGTTTAATACATTTGAAATGAGGCCAATTAAAAACAAATATAGACAAAAATGAATCTCTGCCCAGATAGTACACACTATCCCCATTTTCTGGTTTCCACATGATGGCCCCTATCCCTAAAAAAAAAAAAAATTAAATTAAAATAAACATCCTACATAAAAATTCTTAACAGCAAGAAAATAAAAGAAGAACATGCTTTTCAAGTAAGCACTTATTCCACAAATGCAACATCTTTCCATGGATTTTATTTGAAGCTGTGTGGGACACTGTCATCTCAGCAATTCCCCTTCCCTTTTTTCCCTCCCCCCTCCCAACCCTTCCAAGTAAAAAACAAAAAACAAAAAACAACAACAAAAAAAACACAACAAAACATGAAAACCAAAGGACTCACCCACACACTTGTACACACACACACACACACACACACACACCCAGATATACACACACACAGGCTTCTAAAACCTAGGCTTCAACAAAAGTTCTGTTCAACTTTTTGGAACGAAACCCTTTGTTCACAATCATAACATATTATAAACGTAGACTTAGATTTAGTCTAAGCTGCTCCCTCCTTAAAAAGTTAATATGGGGAAACAGAGCAGCTGGCAGTTATATTAAAAAAAAAAAAAAAAAAAAGAAGTAGTTCTCCAGGCTCCTTGTAGGATATATGTTATTTCTTGTTCACTCTCACCAAAGGAATGGGATTCTAACACATCCCCTTGTCCCCCCGAAAGAAATGAGAAACCCCTGTAAAACACAATGCAAACAAAAAGAGAACACAGATTTTAAGATCACACACACGAAAGCCAGCCCCTCCTAACAGAAATTGTGTGAGACAGATAATGTGTTAATTTGACAAGCAACAAAAGGGTGAAGAGGACCTCCTCATCTGGCCCACAAGCTGCATAGCTGTGCCGAAAGTTTGGTTCTTTAGTTAAATAAAAAAAGAAAGTTAACATCTTTGTTATTTCCATGTTTAAAATAAAAACATTCCTATTCACAAAAAACTAAATCTCCCTTGCCCCCAAATCAAAACAATAACACACACACAAAAAACAATTTATATGAAAAACTGAATTGTGCTGTGTTTGTAACACTCAAATTGATAGAAAATAAACATGTGGCAAACAAAACTCCACAATCACCTTAAAATTAGCTCACATGAATCTACCAAATTCTAAATTATAGTTGAACACTAATAAACAGCTTACCTGGAATAAAGGATGACAATTCACAAACAGTTATCTAATAATTAAAGTCTGTTTCTTTTTTTGTTTTGTTTTTTACTAAAATAATTAAAAAAATCACAGTATTTTAAGAAATAAAACCCACGTGGGGATTTTAAGCACAATTTGTGTTCCTTTTCTTTAAAACTCTTTTTTTTTTTCTTTCTCCATTCACCATCTTGCCCAGCAGTTCTCTCTACATTTAACCACAATGACGACAGGTAGTACTGACAAATGCAGAGAATTCCCTTGGTTAAGTTTGAGGTACTAGGAAACAGGTGACTGTTTTATGCAAAGCAGTTTTTCATTTTCTGTTTTTGTTTTTTTGTTTTTTTTTTTTGTTTTTTCCCAAAGCGGCTGCAGTTAGGTCTTGAAAAAGCTTAAGGTATTAAAACTAGAAAAACGCACCAAAAGTTGTGCGTCAAAAAGTTGTTCCCCTAGGAGAAGTCTTCTACTGTCACGGAGCTTCTGTTTCCACATACTTGTCCAAGACCACCACGGAGTGCACCGTGCCCATGGGAGGTGCCTCCGTATATTCCGCAACAAATGCAACTTCCACGATGAAGATCCAGAAGGAAAGATGTAGTGATGGAAAAGGAGCCACATATTCCAACCAGTTAAATAACTTTAATTTACATACTCACTCACACAGGTACCAGTGCTTTGAAAATAGATTGTTCAGTTCTAAAAAGCAGCTTTGTTCTGTCTTCTCTTTTCTGTCCCTCCCTTCTCAGCCCAAGCCAGCCCTCCCACTTTTTCATCATGGTTCAAGTAAGGTTTGATTAAGAATATCACCAAACACTTATTCGTTTTTGGCCTCTGCGGTCTCCAGGAGAGATTTGTCGGCAGCTACTACACAGATGGCTACTGTTTCGTTCTTTAGGGAAAAGTCTAGCCCAATTGCCTCATCATCTTCTTTTTCCTCTATGGAGGGCATCTTATCATTGTCCTCCACAATCTCTTTTGGATGCATTTCTTCTCTGCTCACCTGCTTGGTATCATTCAATGCCCTAGGAAACACATTTAGGGAAGAGAAAAATGAATATATATATTATTTTTTCCAGTTAAACAAAAATGACTCGACTGTGCTTACTTCCCTCACTGTAAAAAAAAAAAAGCCTTGGGAGGGCCAGTCATAGTGGTGTAGGCAGTAGGGTGCCACTGCATGATATTTCTCACCTCCCCAATAGCCTCCATCAAAAAGAGACAGAGACTTACAGGAACGCCCTGGGTTTGGTTTCCCAGGTCAACCTGAATATACTGGCTGGCTGGAAGTCTTAGGGGGAAGGGGAGAACGTGGCATTCTCTCTTTCTCTCATGAGAGGAAAAACAAACAAACAAACGAAAAAGAAAGAAATTTACAAAAAGCTTTGGGACCTTGGGGTTTCCTTTGAACAATGCCATGAATGTATGACTAAAGTGCACATGATTCATCCTTGCTATATGTCATGCTCAGATCATGTCTTTCTGTATCTTCTTAAAGAGCTAAACAAAAGCATCCATTATTATACCACATTTTGGTTATACCAGGTTTGGTTATAGATTACCGTAACATGTCACCTTCTCTACTGGGTCATATGTAGTAACTGCAAGAATTTTCTTATGCTCAAGCTCATTAGTTGAACTCAGAAGCTTGGAGGTTGGCTATATTTATTAAGACTAAAACAACTCAAGTACTAAAGATTTATTCTAAAAAGAAATCACAGAAACAAACAAAAAGCAAAAGGGTGATGATGGAACCCATGTCTTGGGAAACTTAATTATATTCTCCAAGATCTAGGTACTTGAGATTCCAGGGGCATTTTCTCCTGAAAAGTTCAAATCCTGGGCTCTCTCTGTGTCTGGTGGATTAAGGTTGCCTCATTGAGGGGACAAGTTTATGTTCGAGGATTTTGTAAGTAATTTACAAGCATTCTCTCACCTACCTGGGAGGTGGGCAGTAGTTGCCTCTGTCCCTAAGGCATGGAAATGTTCAAGGCTACTCAGGGAATCAGCCACAAAGGCAGGAAGAGAAGCTAGGTCTTTTGACCCCGATTCACACTGTATCATAGAACGTCATGCTAATAAAAAGTAAAAAGGACATTGGCTGAAGAATACTATACTTTTGCATGTGGGCTTGAATGAGATTGACCATTCATAAAAGTGATTTTTTTTTTTCCAAATTCGACTTGTGGCTGGGTGACCATTTTAAAAAACCAACAGTGAAGGAGAAACCTGGCTCCTCAAAATTGCCTTTCTTCCTCTGGCCTGGAAATGTGGCATAGAAGTGTCTCTGTACTGCCAGGGGAACCAAAAGAGAAACCTTGATTCCCTTTCCCCGCCCTCTCACATTGGGCACAGGTGTTCTTGGAAAGGCCCAACTTACATGCCATGTCTTAGCACATGTCTTTCCCATTCAGAGCCCTGTGAAAACGCCCGTCCACAAAATTCACATGGAAAACGCTTCTCAGTGTTAATAGCAGCCCCATGGTCAGAAAATCTCATCAGCTCTGTGAAGAGAAAGCAGAAGTGTGCTGTGGGAGTAGAATAGATAAGTCAACATTCATTAGAAAAGCCCCTTCCCTACCTTCATTTGTAAAGCCATGTGGTAAAAGCAATTTCCAGATTCCTCACTCTTTCTGAAGACTTTTCCCTAAGGATATTTGTTGACTAGCTCTCAAGAACTGTTCCTGGTTCCTGTGCCTCAAACTTCTCCATTCATTTCGCACCTCCCCAATAGCCTCCATCAAAAACAATCTGGGTCTTTCAAGCCCAAAGAGCCCCTTCTGCCCATTCCATAGACATCTGAGTGTTTCTTTTCTATTTAATCTGTCTCTTCTCTGTTCCTCTGGTACTGCGCCTCAGAGTTGAGCACCTATTCATTTTCTACTTGACATGAGTCTATCTTAGATTACTAAAAAGAAGATAGGATACTGAAAGCACCATATAAGGTTATATGTAGGCTTTCTATTTGTTCCAAGGGATGTTAAAGGCTCAGGACTTGTAGTCACCTGTAATGGATATCAGAATCAACATCTCAAAGTGGATTATGAGCACTGAATTACACCTACAAGTCAAGAACCTAGCTGAATGTGAAGCTGAATAACCAGGGACAGGTCCAAAAACCATGTCCCCAGTTATTGAGGGATCCTGGCCAGTTACCTGCCATTTACTCAATGGGTAGTATTTATGAATGTGAGGATATATAGACATTTCTGGACGGATCTGTTGTAAACATCAACTATTAACTTAGTTGTTTTTGTCCTCCATGGTGCTGGGCACAGGTCAGAGCTGATAAATATGGATCGTCGGTTGGTTAATTGTTTTCAGGTCACGCCTCCTGGCAAACTCAAAGACGAGAGCTTATATGGCCTTTGTGTCATCCTGTGTCCCAAGCCCATATGTCTTTCATTATACCACGGAGGGCCAAATAATCATGTGGGTAATACACAGTAGGACCTAGACAGTTCTGCAGCCACGTTGCAAAGTGAGGGCAGCACATGGGGAAATGCTGATCATCTTTACATATCTGATTACTCTGGGCCTCCACATTTAAGATGTGACAAGAAGTCTCCTGGTTGAAAGACTCCCTCTAATAAAATCCTCCAGGATGATGTTAACAGGATGGGGGCTCTGAGAAGCCTTAATCTTCAGCACAAAAAGCGATGTGAACGGGGCCAGTTTTAACAAAAGATGAAACATTTTCTCACAAATTAAGAAGATCACCACACAAGCCATTAAAAATAATTGCACAGACTATCTTCCTTGATTCTTTTCATTGGAAATGAGACAGCACCATCTGCTCTGCGCATTAATTCCTTAGCAGGGATTATCTTGGGCAAGAAATCAACAGAATGCCTTCCTGACTCCTCCCCAACTGCATAATGAGAGGGGGGTGGGGAGGATTCTGCTTGGGTTAATTTTGATTTCTTCATGCCTGGTTTCTTCTTCTTCTTTTTTTTTTTTTTCAAATTCCTTTCGAGCTTCCTAGGCAGGACAGCAGATCATCTAGATGTGGCTCTCTCTCTCCAGCTTTCTTCTTTGGAAAGGAGGTTAGGAAAAGGGTAGCTACGAGGCTGCGAACTTCCTAAATGAGGGTGTCTGATCAAAGTCTACATTGCCAACAAGGGGACTGTTCCTGGTGCACTTGCTCCTTACCCTTAGGAAACATGAAACCAGTCATCTATTCTTTTTCAACTGCACAGGCTAAGTTTCATCCTCAAAGGAGGAGGCCACTCATTACCTGTCACACTGCAAATTGTTCTCCATCAGCCTGAGAGCTGCACTAAAGCCACCAACCGCCCTCTGCTCCTGGAAGCCAGAAGGTCTGAAAAAACACCCTAAGGGTATTGTGTGCCGCTTCGTCTTTTTGGCAAGAATACACCTAGCTGGTGGAAAATTGATTCTAGGTATTCAAAGGAGATGGGACAAAGGAGGCTGTCCTTTTAAGGACTGGCAAGGGGGAAGGGAGGATTTAGGCTTTTAATTCTCATTAACTTTACTGAAAGTTACTCATGTAAATCCCCCACTTTCTGAGAGGAATACATGCTTCTCCACCCTTAGGACTCTCCCCCGAACCTCCATGTGGTTAAAGCTCATAAATGTGGACAGTAGGCTTTTCCAGTTAAATACAGAGACCATGAAGTTCTTTGCAGTCAAACCAATCTGGTCTGGTGCCACTCTGCCCAAGAAAAGGAGGAAGCCAAGATGGAGAGGCAGGGAAATTTGCTGGGGTTCCCCACATATCTCAACTGTTATCCTTTTTCTTCTAGTTTGTTCATTTGTTTGTTTTTGGAGACACGGGGAGAAGGATAAGAAGTGGTATTTGCCTCCATAATGCTTATAACTTCTAAAATCACATGTGTTCAGTTTTAGAGATTAAAAAAATCAATATCCAATGAGGAATAATTTCTTTCCTGAAGAGGAACAGCAAGGCTACAGAGCACCATGAAGAGAAAGGAGCCTTTGTACCCTCTGTCAAAAGTCCTCTCTTAGAGAACTCTGGTAACAGTGCACAGATGTTAGAAACTCATCATGAAGACCATATTTATGAAATGATTTTTTTCCAAAGAAAAGAAAGAAAGAAAAGAAAAAAAAAAGCCATTACTTCTCAGATCACAGCCATTTTATATATGAGGAAAGGATTAATACAGTCCCTTCTAATGAAAGTAGTAACATTTTTTGGGGGTGAGAGATTTTTGCTATAGGGCATGTAAGATCTCCAGAGAGACAGAAAGAGGTGGAAAATGAGAAATCACCCCTGGGGGTGGGGTGGGGTGCGAATGGCCACGCCACAATCTCTTCTCCTCCATTCTCCTCTTGGGATTTTGGGTATGCGTTCTCACGCATCTGGCGTGAGTAAGCCACCGGGTCTGGGACTCAAACCACTTTCGACTATGCGGAAGTCCAGTGATATAACCATTACACCATCTACTTGTCCTTAAAAGTAGTAACTTTAAAAGCAATCAATCTATATGGTAAGGATATTTTGTCTATATATTTTTGGGTTGACCACAGGCATAGGGGTTTGGAAAAGCTAGCACACTCTGACTGCCAGTCCTGCTGCCTGTCTTGGTTGGGCCAAACTGAACCCCACTTTACAAACTCAAGGTCTCTTGTCCTTGCTTCAGAATGGAAGATAAAAGCAGGTCAGGAAAAAGAACAGGGAACACCTGGGAGGGAAATGGCCCACACCAAACAGGCTTCCTTAGACTTGTAGGTTGACCAAGCAGAAAAACAACAACAAAATACAATACCAACAAAACCACAAAGATTCCCCACAAAAGTGCACCTCCAAGCAAGGCTCAAAGGGCCACTGACTCCACAGATTTCAGGACCAAGTTCCCTTCAATGAACATTTTACTGCCCCAAGGGGATGGAAATGTAGTATATTCTATAAGTCATCCTGCCTTTGGAGTCAGAAGACCTAACTTAAATTCATCCTCCAGTGTCCCAACTCCTCCCTCCACCTTCAACTTCAGGCAAGCTCTTAAATTTTCTAAGGCTTTATTTCCCCATTTTTAAAATGATAATAATAGTACTTGCACTGTTGCATTCTCATTTACTAAGTGATTACTATGTTTCAGGAATTGGGCGAATGTCCTACATGTCACCTAATTTAATCTTCATGACAATCTATGGAGTCACCAGAGACCTTGAACAGTCAAAGCAATCTTGAACAAACAGAATAAACCTTGAGACACCATACTACCTGAGTTTAAAATCTACTACAAAGCTAGAGTAATCAAATACCATGCTACTGGCATAAAAACAGACATACAGACCAATGGTACAAAATAGAAAGTTCAGAAATAAATCTACAGATTTACAGTCAATTAATTTTAAATATGCCACACAGTGGAGAAAGGACAGTTTTTTCAAGAAATGGTGTTGAGACAAGAGACCATCCACATGCAGATAATGAAATTAGGCCTTAGTTTATTCCACATACAGAAGTGAGCTCAAAATGAATTAAAGACCTAAATTTAACTCCTGAAATGATAAGAACAACTAGAAGAAAACATAGGGGAATGCTCTATCACATTTGCTTGAGCTATGTTGTTTTGGATATGAACCTAAAAGCATAGGCAACAAAAGTAAAAATAGACAAATGGGATGACATCAACCTAAAAAGCTTCTGAACAGCTAAAGAAAGCAACAGAGAGAGACATCTTACAGAATGGGAAAAATATCTGCAAACCAAATACCTAATAAAGGGTTAATATCTGAACTATATAAGAAATGCAAACAACTCAACAGTAATAAAACAAATAACTGGAATAATATATCCCAAACCATACACTTTTATGTATAGCTGAAGACTTCTGTTCTCCATGTTGAACAGTATATAGAACACTAACTCTGTAATACATAAATGTATATCCACAACTAAATATACTTTTGAAAATCTTTTTATTTTGAAATAATTATAGACTCATATGACATCAAGAAAATACTACAAAAATCCCATGTAACTTTCCCCAGAATATACTGTAAGCACATGGCTGAATGAAAGCTGTGGTCTCTCTCCTTTACAAAGCAAAAACAGAGCACCATGGGTGTTAAGAGGGCCACACAGACAGACATATGGAGAAGGCTCAAATTCTTTGCAGCCTCCTTCTACAACCACGGCAGAGTATCCCCCAGTAGCAGTAATTTAAAATGAGCACTCAGCTGAAAGTTTATTCTCATTCCTCGATAGCTTTACAGTACTATCCATCTTGCTGTCTGCCTGTCCTTACTCTGAAGATTCCTTAGACACCAATTTTCCTTATTAAAAACAAATTACTGCCATATATACTTTTCAACAAACATAAATCTATAATTAGTGAGAAAATGTCTGTTTTTCTTGGAGTTTCTATAGCTGGTAATAGTTTACAAAGACATAGCCCCTGATGTGTTTCTAGAGGCAGTCTGCTCTGCTGCTTAACTAAGAAGGATCATTCCTTCTGTTACTCCTATGACAACCTCCTGCCTCCCTTCTGTCTCACCATGGATGTGCTGGATGCCATCTGGGCCTAAGAGGCCAGGAGGAAACTAACCTCTGTCTTCAGCCTTGCTGTTCATTTCCTCTTCCTTGTCCTCATCATCACTGCTGGAACTCTCCATTTTTTCCTTCATCTGTTCCAGCTGATCCAAGTTAACCCGTCCAACCAGCTCAAAGTTACGGCTTACCTGAAAAAGGTCCAAATGTATGAAAACATGATAAACCATAGACTGAATGGAGTTCTCTCTGGTGGAGGGACCCTTCCAACATCATTCCCCTCTAACTATTTTTGGGACCAGGACTAAACAGCCCAGGTACCTAAGAGGCCCCTTTCTTTAATTTGACTCTTTCAGAGATGGATCTGTCCTCTGCCCCACATTCCAGCATTTTCACTGGAACTGCCAACACTGGAACTTCATTACCAAATTTGTTGAGAAACCTGAGCTACAGAAAGCAGAAGGCCAAAGGTATCATGAAAGTGACAATATAGAATAAATGTCTAATAAATATGTTTTTTGAGGTGGATTCAAATGTGTAACTTTTATAAATAACCAGTTTCAAATACTTCTGGAGGCAAAGAGGCTCTACAAGCATTCTGGCCACTAGCAGTGATAATCCCAATCTCTTAGCCACGATCCTATCAACTGTGTGATTGTGAATTGTCCCAGCTTAAGCCAGATGACAACTATACAATTCTTGATTCTAGTTTAAATATAAGACAATATTACTATTGTTAGTATTACTGCTGTTTTTGAATTCAACTAGACTATTTATCAAGGCTGGGATTATCTGAGAAAAACCTAGATGATTAAATCCTAAGAGCTCTTAGAAACTATAAACTATAGCTGGTTTTTATTTATATAAAATGTGGTTCCAATAATGTGGGAATCCAAGCTTTCTTCAAAATACCATTCAAGGGTAACAAAAATCCATAAGTCTTTAATAATTTTCTCTATGGAGGCTCCTGGATCAATGGTAGCACAAAATTTACCTTCTTCATTAATCTACTTTCAGAACCTCTCTGGTTGCATGCCTATAATTATCAGACGGTGTAGGACTCAAGCCAATGGACAGGCATATGGACTACTCCTCTGTATAAGGTGCTGTGCTCCCCTTGTTAGGGGCCACAGGGAGGGACATACAGAGACAAAGGAGACCTGGTTCTGTCCTCTAGAGCTCTCAGTTTAAAGAGAGAAGACATACATCATTAAATTAGATTCCAAAGCAGATTTCCATAGCTGTTATAATGGAGACAGAGAGCAACAAAGGCACAGGAGAGGAAAGACAAAATTTACAAAACAATTCCAAAATATTCTCTAAGACCAGACTGGAACAAAGATTTGTTGAGCACCACCAATTCCATATGCCTGGCAGATGGGAACACCATCATCAATTGCGACAAATGTGACAAAGATACTCAGAGTATCAGGGCCAATAGATACTCCTGTGAAAAGGCTGAACACTGTCCCAACCATGTTTATAGAACACAGGTAGCATGTAAGAGGAAGAAAACAGGAAGAAAGCAAGCTCTTTGAAAGCCGGAGAAAGAATCCATTGGTCAATCAATAATAATAAGATCCATGATGTTAGTTTACTTTGAAAACAACTCAATATGAGGTTGGACAAGGTGTCTTTATCAATCCCAATGCCAAACACTCAGAGAAGGAAATGTCTTGTTTTACTCATTTAAAAAAGTCTTACAAATTAAGAGACTAAGGTGAGAGGAGGAGGAAGAGGTCAAGTTGAAAATCTTCACATCTCTTTATTCCCTTCTAGGTTTATAGCCATGATCTAGATCACCAAAAGAATTTTGCTTATAGTATCTTCCTCAGTAGGGATTTATGTACAATGTCTCATTCCTAGAGACTTAAATGAATTTTCATTTATTTATTTTTAAGTCATAGAACAAAAAGGGACAGCACAAACAGCATGAACTCTGAAATCAGACGAATCTGAGTTCAAGTGCAGGGTTTGTCACTTAAGCACTAGACCATTTGTAAGTCACTCAATATATGTCTTCAATGACCTCATTTAGAAAAGGAGGTCAGTCAGGATAGCACCTGAAACACAATAGTCCACAAAAATGTAATTTCCCTCCCCTTTCTGGGAATGTGGGCCTTTTCCAATTTCAGCTCTTGTAAATGCTTATAATAAGCCTTGTAAACGCATATCTACAAAGTTATGTTTGGCCACAAAGTCTGCATTTTAACTAAATAGAATTTTTGACAAATATTTGAATGTAAGTTTCCTGACTTGCTAGTTTCTCATGAAAAGAAGGCAAGGTCTCAATTTGCCGAATTTTGATGTGCTTGGAGAAAACGATTTTTAAATGACAAGTACTTAAAAGATAGTCTTTCCTGAACCACTATCTTCCTCATGTCCCTCCTTTAGAAATCAGGGTATTTATTTAGTAAACACCCATAAATGACATGAGGGGTAGAAAGCTGCCAGGAAATCAAAATAATAAAACCTGGAAAAGTGGGCCATAGTGGTTAAGGTGCCATAGTGGTTAAGGTGGCTGAACTCCTGGGCATGTGTACCTAAGTGCCCAAAATCGTGAAAGGACAAATGGAGAAGGGATTGTGGCATGACCATGCCCCATGGAGGATGATTTCTCTTCCCTTTCTTTCTCCACTCAGCACATGTACCTTGTGGTAAAATAAAAAACCAAAACGAAGCAAAGCAAAAATAAGGATAAGAATCCTCAAACAAGAAACTTAAAACAACTTCCTTATTTTAGTTATTCGTATTATCACTCATGCATTTATCCATTAATTCAACAAGAACTCCCCAGTGTCTTATAGTGTGTCAGGCTCTGGGGTCCATATTAGTGCCCTGTTTCTCAAGGAGCTCACAGTGACAGAAAGAGATTGTCAACAAACCAAGTGTTAGTTTGTTTTCCTCCTTCTGGGTATTTTTGAGGACTGTATTTGTCCATTTCCCCATCACCATCATCCTTTCACTGGAAAACTGTTAACATTTTGGATTCTGCAAAGTGTTGAAATAGTACATGACATTTTCACAGTATGAACTTCATTTTGGGTTAGCCCGGGATTTATTCCTCCTGAAGAGTTTTAAAACCTTTCCTAGGGAATTTTAAGATTTCAAAGTAAAATCTAAGTTTTGTGCTATGTAATTAGAATATTTCAAAATAAGAGTGTTTATAGTGTTGGACTATAATTACAAATTGAATATTCCTTTTTTAAAGTCCTTAGGACTGGGGCCTGCAGGTGGCATGGTGGTTAAAGTGCTGGACTCCCACATGGCTGACTGCAGTTTGGGTCCTGGACCATTGGCTTGAAAATCACATGGGTAAATATGCATGTATGCCCAAAATCTTGAGAAGAGAACGGAGAAGGGATTGTAGCATGGTCCTCTGGGGAGGGGGAATAGTGGTGATTTCTCACTTGCCCTCTCACTATCCTGCTCATGTCTCACATGCCCCAAGGCAAAACAAAAACAAGAATAAGAAACAAAAACAAAAGCAAACAAACACAAGGATTGGGACAAGAAGTGTTTTAGATTTTGGATTGTTTCACACTTTGAAATATTGGAGGTGATGCCCAACTCCATGCATGAAATTCATATATGTTTCATACACTCCTTACATACATAGCCTGAAAGTAATTCTATATGATCATGTTGTATTGCAGTATTTTAAAAGTGATCTATGACATGAGGTGTGTTATTTTCCACTCGTGAATCACGTGGGCACCAAAACGTCAGATTTTGGAGCATTTTGGATTTTGGACTAGGGATGTTCCCCAAATCAACCATCCATACACACACACACACACACATTTTTTTGGGGGGAAAGGGGAAGAGGTTTTTGCTATAGGGCACACGCACTTGCCAGAAAGACAGAGAGAGAGAGACAGAAATTTGAAATCACCCACCAGTGGGGATGGCCACACTGCAATTCCTTCTCCTCCATTGTCCTCTCAGGATCTTGGGCATGCATGCACATGTGCCCGGTGTGAGTTTAAGCCACCGGGTCCAGGACTCAAACCACAGACTACACGGGAGTCCAGCAAAGTAACCATTACTCCATCTGCTGGTCCTGAAGCCATCTATACATTAATCCTAATATAAAAGGAATACGTTGGACCAGTAGGTGACGTGGTGGTTAAGGTGCTGGACACTCCCATATAGCCGACCAGGGTTCAAGTCCTGAATCAGGTGGCTTGCTTTCTCACTTCCTCTCTCTCACTCTCACCCTCTGTCTCTCTCTGGTCAAATTAAAAAATAAATGAATGGATAAATAAAATAAAATAATTATATATAAAAAAAGGGAATGCGTTTTCCTGGATTTTTGATTCCATCATCTTCACCTCTTACCTATATTATTGTTACCCTACTCTCCCTTGTTAAATGTCTCAGTGTCCACTCTTGCCCTTTCTTGTATCTATTTGCCAGTGTGGTAAAAATGATCTTTAAACATTTTAAGTCTCTCCAAGCCAGTCTCTGCTTGCTTTGCAGATAAAACCCAAATTTCTTCCTGTGGGTTACATGGCTGGATATCATCTTATTATGGGTATCATCTTCCCTAGGCTCCTTGTGGGTTCTTCCACCCTGAATTTATTAAGGTTCTTAGAATAAGCCATGCTCTTAAATTTGTGCCCCTGCACATGCCATTTCATGTCTGAAACTCTCAAATCTATCCCTGAACAGGCTGACTGCTCAGTCTTCTAGCGCAGCCTGTGTCACTTGACCTGGGAGACCTTCCCTAAACTCTTCCCATGTTAAAATATCCTTGCTCTATACTCCCCATTGAGAATACACCTCACTTAGTAACTGACTGTCGAGAGCCTCCTTTCCTCCACTGAACTGCACCCTCCATGAGGGCAGACTCCGGGTATCTGGCTCACAACTGAATCTCCACTGACCAGCAGTGTCTAGGTCAGAGCAGGCACTTCCTTAGCTTCTTCCTGCCTATGAGACATCTTCATTTTAATGTAACATAGTTTCCTTTCACATAAACATTCAAAAAGAAAATTTGGTGGGACCAGCAGTTCGCGTAATGGCTATGTCACTGGACTCCCACGTAGTTGACCGCAGTTCGTGTCCCAGACCTGGTGGCTTAAACTCACGCCAGGCGCATGTGCGTGCGTGCCCAAGATCCCAAGAGGAGAATGGAGGAGAAGGGATTGCAGCATGGCCATCCCCTCTGGGGGTTGATTTCTCACTT